GGCTGGGAAGGTGGCTCAGTGGTAGAGTGCTTGCCTTGCATGCTCAAGGCCCTGGATTCAATTCCTCAGCACCACATAAGCAAAAAGAAAAAAGCCGAAGTGGCGCTGTGGCTCAAGGGGTAGAGCGCTAGCCTTGAGCTGAAGAGCTGAGGGACAGCGCCCAGGCCCAGAGTTCAGGCCCCACAACCGGACCCAAAAAACAAACAAACAAACAAAAAAAATACTCATATATATAATTTCCTTAAGGAAGCATTTCTCAGGATTCTTTTGAAATAAGCTTTTACTATTTTATAATTCTTGGAAGTCAGAGAGCAGTTCTGTTTTAAATTTCTTCCTATTCTCTCTTTATCTAAATTAATTTCCTTAATCTGATTTTTTAAAGTTATCAGCAAATTTTAAAACTAGAGAAAGTATACTTCAGTCCTAAGTATTATAAGTTTTTCCAGTGAAATTAGTAACTAGACAAAGATGCCTGCTATTTATATTTCAAGCCCTAGGATACTAACCCACTTAAAGAAATAAAAATGAAAGCAAAGATTTGGAAAAAATAATACTATCAGTCATATTTGTCTAAAACTTAATAATATCTATGCACTTTAGTTATAACTATACTTACTATTGTAATAGTCCTGTCAAATCAATTATTTCTGTTCTGTTTTATAAGAAAACTGAGTTCAGAGACTATGTTTGAATAACAAAAAGAATGGCTAGTGTGACTGAAGCAAAAATGGAGGAAAAAGAGGGACTGAAAGGAGAAGAAGTCAGAGAAAAAAGCATAAATTGAGCTGGGGGCTAGCTACTCAGCAGGCTGAGTTCTGAGGACTGTGGTTCAAAGCCAGCCCAGGCAGCCCAGGCTGTTAAGACTCTTATCTCCAATTAACCACCAAAAAACTGCAAGGGGAGCTATGGCTCAAAGTGGTAGAGTGCCTTTAGCAAAGCTCAGGGACAGCACCCAGGCCCCGAATTCAAGTCCCATGACCAAAAAAAAAAAGCTTAAATCAGAAAGTCAAAGTAACAATTCAGATTTTATTCTGGTTACAATGGGAAGCCATTAGAGAAGTTTAAGCAAAAGAGACATAAGGTATTAAATATATAGACTAAGAAACCACTGTAGTAGTGGATACAAGAAATGATAATCACTTGAAGAACTAAAACTATAGTAATAGAGGTGAGAAATGGAGGCAATAATGACATAACATTAAAGTGAATTAGTACAAAAAATAAGAATGACTTTCAGATTTTTGGTCTTGTGATAATTTACATGTTAATTTCAACTGGGACACAATGTATCCCTAATTATAATGTTGGCATATATAGAACTGGCAGACTGAGTAAAGCCCACTGACTAAAGAAGTAGCCCTCATCTAATCAGCTGTAAATAAAACAAAAGGCTTAATAAGATGTAACTTCCCCTGAATAATTGCTTTTGTTTGGGATTTCCTCTTCCCTGTCTTCACAGTCAAACTTAAATTTCAGCTTTTCCTGGATCTCAAACTTGCCAGCTTTCAAACAAGAACATATACCATTTGGCTCCTGTGCTTCTCAGGAAGTGGAATTAAATCATTAGCTCTCCTGGGCCTGTGGCTAACTGTAAACCTCAGAAAATTTTCAGTCTCCATAATCACATGAGTAAATTCCTTAGACAGGTAAGCAAGTAATACATAGATAGACAGATACATATATACATACATACATACATATATACACGTATACATACAGACAGACAGACAGACATAGGTAAATTTTCCATTGGTTCTGTTTCTCTGAAAACTGATCATGTAAATATTATAAATTATTTGAATAATATAATTATTTACTGTGAAAAACACAAAGAAAACTACGTAAGAGTGTCATAAAGGAGAAATGCTGTGTATAGTTCTGCTTTGGCTATTAAGTATTAAATGCCTAGGGGACTCTAAAGTAGACATTTCAGTTACACAGTTAGTATACACTTCCCTTTAATTGAAGGTAACCACAAATTTAGACTTGAGAATCATTAACAAAATCTATGCACTGTCCATGAAGTAGCCTCTAGCCACACTGGACTATTTTAGTTGAAATTTAAATACAAATTTCTGATGTTTAATAGTTAAAAAATGATAGTATATTGGCAAATACAGACCTTTATTTTTTCATATCATAGGTTAGGACAACATAGCTCTAAACAAATTCTCAAAAGAGCACCCAGGGCAGAATTCTAGTAGAAGGTGTGCAAACAAAGAAATATGAAAGTTGAAAAATGCAAATGTTTCAAGAAGAAGTATAGGTAGCTGAATTAATTCAAATGTTATTAAGAAACCAAGCTTGGATGAGAATAAACTTACCACTAGCTTTACCAAGATCATTTAAAATGAGCCACTGCAGTATAAAATGGTAGAAACAAATTAAAACAAAGCAAGCTAAGAAGAAATGGATAGAAAAAGCAGAGGATGAAGTTGCAGGAGGAAAGATATTAACTTTTGCTTTTTTTTTTAAATAAGTTTTTATTGTGAAAATACTGTACAGAGGGGTTACAATCACATGAGCAAGCTAATGAGTACATTTCTTATCAAGCATTGTTGCCTCCTCTGTTTTTCCCCTACCAACCCTTCCCTCCCATCTTCACAACTACATTCCCCTCCCGCCCCCATTGTAGAGTAACTAGGGGGGCTGGGAAGGTGGCTCAGTGGTAGAGTGCCTGCCTTGCATGCATGAGGCCCTGGGTTCAATTCCTCAGCATCACATAAGCAGAAAAGGCTGGAAGTAGCACTGTGGCTCAAGTGGTAGAGCACTAGCCTTGATCTGAAGAGCTCAAGGACAGCACTCAGGCCCAGAGTTCAGGCCCCATGACCGGCAAAAAAAAAAAAAAATAGTTAGATATATTTTGTTCATTTGTGACTTTTTTAAGTTAACTGGTTGATTTTAGTTTGACTTTTGGTGTGGAGTCAGCTAATTTTCTCTCAAAGAGAAAAAAGTTTCAAAAATGTCTATTAAGATAAGGTCATTAAACTTGACCACAAGCCCTAAAATGAATATAAGAGGTTACGATCAACGTTGTCAGTTTGAAAGACATGTATTTGCAATACAAACCTTATTTGGATCATAAGTCAGTCAAAAAGAAAAGGCAAATGACACAAGACAGTTGGAAATGTAATAATATTATATTTGATGTTATCATTATAAGAATTCTAGGTAGAATAATGCATTATGTTCATTTATTTTTAAAATATCTATTGCTGTTGTAGATAGGTAACATCTGGAATATACTACAAAATACAGAAATAGGTGAAGGTGGAGGTGGCTCAGTGGTAGACCACTTGCCTTGCATGCATGAGGCCCTGAGTTCGATTCCTCAGCACCACATAAACAAAAAAAAAAAACCAGAAGTGGCGCTGTGGCTCAAGTGGTAGAATGCTAGCCTTGAGCTGAAGAGCTGAGGGACAACGCCCAGGCCCAGAGTTCAGGCCCATGACCGGACCCCCCCCCAAAAAAAAGAAAAGAAATAGGTGAAGGTAAAAATCAAACAAGATGGGGTTGGGACAGTAGCTCAGTAGTAGATTGCTTGCCTTACATACATGAGGCCCTGGGTTCAATTCCTCAGCACCACATAAACAGAAAAGGCCAGGAGTGGTGCTGTGGCTCAAGTGGTAAAGCACTAGCCTTGAGCTGAAGAGCTGAGAGAGAGTGCCCAGGCCCATGAGACTGACCCAAAAAATAAATAAATAAATAAACAAGATGGAATTGTTTAGGTTAGGAAATAGATATATGACAGTTCATTACACTTTTGTATAGTGATAAGTTAAAGCAAGAAAAAAGTGTGTCATATAGAAAGTTGTTAAAATGAAATGTGTACATCTCTAGTTAATTAGAATTCATAATTTTAAGAACCAAAAATCTTTAAAAACATATATGTATACATACAACACATACAGAAGTAGATTGTTATTATGATTTTCCTTTCCAAAAAAAGCCATGGTGTTAGGGAAGGTAAGGGGAACAACAGAATGGTGAGACAAAGGACAAGGAGGAAACCAATACAACAGTGATATTCACAATACAGTTTGTTGGAAATGATCTATACAACTTGAGGGAAGGGAACTGGAGGGGAGGGAAAGTAGGAGAAAAATAAGAAGGGATAACAAGTTTGACAAGAAATATACTTATTACCTTGTGAATAAATTAACAAAAACAACATAAAAAATAAAAATAAAAGCCATGGAGCTATGAAGTTAAAGAAAGCTATTATAACTAGCAAAACAATCAAAAGATGTGTATTATATTTCCCTCTACATAATGTTCTGCATAAAGATAAATTTACTAAATATGACATCTTAATTTAAACAAATGTTTTCATATGATAAAGTTCTAAACAAGTCAGAAAAAACAAGTTAAAAATACCATCCTGTATTCATAACCATTTACATATGCTTTATCATAAGAAAATCTTCATATTTACATTCTCATTTCAATACACCATGCCTCAAAAATACAAAGCTATAAGATACTGTATTTTAGTATTCATATTTACTTTACTATTCATATTTACTTTAAACTTGGAACTTACTATTTCTTTCTGTTCTCTTGGAAAAGAAGAAAATAAGCACTGTTCTTATGCTCCAGATGCTAAAGGGGAAGCAAAATTTAAAACAAACCATCATTACAATAGGTGAATTATTCGGTAGTATAAGACAAAATTAGAATCAAGCATATTGTTTTCTGTTATATATTAAATATTTTAAACCCACTTCTTCCTGCCAGAAGACATCAGAAGTCTACCTGAACTCTTAAAGGAGAAGTTCTCCACTTAAAATCCATTAACGGGCTGGGAAGGTGGCTCAGTGGTAGAGAGCTTGCCTTGCATGCCTGAGGCCCTGGGTTCGATTCCTCAGCACCACATAAGCAGAAAAAAAAGCTGGAAGTGGTGCTGTGGCTCAAGTGGTAGAGTGCTAGCCTTCAGCTGAAGAGCTGAGGGAGAGCACCCAGGCCCAGAGTTCAGGCCCCACAACCGGACCAAAAAAAAAAAAAAAAAAAATCCATTAACTTACTGAGGGTATTTTCAACTGCAAAATTGCCCTTGTGTAGATAAGTACAGTTCTCTACCAAAATCAATGCTTCCATTGTACAAGAGGATTAAAAACAATATTATGGAATCCCCATACTGTACATCAACTCCAAAAGTTTTCTTATATATTCTCATGTATTGTCAATGGACAAGCACATTAGAAATGTAACCACATTATACAATATAATGTTTCCTTACATATTTACCATTGAGTCTTACCTACTTACCAGATAACTGATCTTGGGAAATAATTTTTTTTAAATCTCACCTTCAAATAATAAGGAAAAGAAAATTTACTTAAATACCTCCTTTTAAATATGTTATGAATTTGTTGAATAGAATTCCTTTGTTCAACTACTTAATAATAATTAAAATAGGGACTGGGAAGGTGGCTCAGTGGTAGAGCGCTTGCCTTGCATGCATGAGGCCCTGGGTTCAATTCCTCAGCACCACATAAGCAAAAAGAAAAAAGCCGGAAGTGGCGCTGTGGCTCAAGTAGTAGAGCGCTAGCCTTGAGCTGAAGAGCTGAGGGACAGCACCCAGGCCCAGAGTTCAGGCCCCACGACTGGACCCAAAAATAATAATAATAATAATAATATTTTAGATATTTTTTAAAGATTTTTTTAAAATATTTTATGGGAGATGAGATGGGGGCTCAGCAGTAGAAAGTTTGCCTCACATGCATGAGGCCCTGGGGTCAATTCCTCAGCACCACATAAACAGAAAAAAAGCCAGAAGTGGTGCTGTGGTTCAAGTGGTAGAGTGCTAGCCTTGAGCAAAAGCAGCTCAAGAACACCCAGGCTCTGAGTTCAAGCACAAAAAAAAAAAAAAGATTTTTATGAGAGTAATTCTTTGTTTTTTATTAGTAAGACAGCAAATGATATTTAAAGAATTCAAGAAAACAAAGAATAAACCTAATTATAAGCTTATCAAAGTCATCTCTTAAGTTCAATGTAAATATAACAATATATTTTCCCCATAAAAAATGGCAAAAATACATTGCTCATGATTTTAAATAAAAATACATTGTATCTGGACATAAATTCAGAATATAAGCCTGAAAATTAATTCTTCATTGGAAACTAACATTGGTATTTTGGGGAGTCAATCTGCAAGGCAGTCAGCCAGCAATGCTTATCTCCTCATACAGACCTCTAAGTTTTCTTCTCCCACCAATATTAGTCTATATGACCAATAATACAGGCACAAGTGATAGAATGGCACTTCAAAGTAAAGTTATAAAAGACTGCAGCTTCCATTTACAGCCTCCGCTTTTATTCAGTCTTTCTCTTTGTTTTTTTTTTCTTTTTTTAAATATATAAGTGTCTTTCTCTTTCTTGGGTTACCCACTCTGAAAGAAGCTAGTTGGGATAATATGAGAATAATCAGAGAAGTCTATGGAAATGTTTGTGTGGTAAGGAACAAAGAGCTAGTATAAACACTCAGAAAAAAAAAAAAAAACCTGAAACTTGTTAACAACTGCATACAGATAGGAGCTGAGAAAAAGTATACATATAAATTATATATATAAAATTATACAATACTAAGTCAGACTTCATCTTTTTATTTGGATTCAGAACCCATTTTAGAGGTGGCAAACCAACTGGGTTTGGCAAATTTATGACTTTAGATTATATAAAGAAACATAAGTCCAAAATAGACTTAAAAGACATAGTCTAATAAAAGAAATGAAGTATCTAACAGTAAACTGGAATTGGATAACAGCAGGGCTAGTAAAGGTTCTGCAGTTCTATGAGTGTGTAGATTTAATTAGGCCTTTGGATGATTATCTTAAAGCCAACCACTTATCTACAATTTATATAATAACAATAGCTCTAAACCACTCAGCTAAGCACTCATGAAGTCTCCTGCCTGTGAGCAAGAAGAGTAAAGACATAACAAATATTTGTTGTTTCATGTTAAATTCTAGACAAATTTGTTGCATGGCAATAGCTGGCCACAGCACCACTTCTGGCTTCTTTTCTGTTTATGTGGTGCTGAGCCCATTTTTTTAAGTCTGGTGCTTCATTTTGATACTATGAAAACAACAAATATGATTCCTACATGGTATTTGGACAACTACTTAAGCAGTAAGGATAACCCTAGTCAAGGGAAAGGAAATAAAAAGTTAAACACAGTGTTTATCTTCCTCGAGATCATATATTAATGAAAAATTACATTAAGTTGTCCCCCTTAATTTATATGTTCCAAAAGATACACCAGCCCCACTCTTGCAATGGATCCTTGAAATCACAGATGTACTGAACTCTTTATATACTGTAATTTTTCTTTATATACTGTATTTTTCTTTATATGCTGTATTTTCTTTATATACTGTATTTTTTCTTTATATACTGTAATTTTGTAGCAATGCTCTACAGCATTGCTACATATTACCAGTGTTAATCTTCCTTCCATGGTTTATGCCTTAATATATCACTAATCTTCACTTTGGGGCCATTATTTAAGTAAACAAGAGTTACTTAAATACAAAGACTATGATGCCTCCACAATGGATCTGATAATCAGAAGGACTACTAAGGGTTAGTGAGCAAGTGTACAATGCTCTTGGACAAAGGGATAATTCACATCCTAGGCAGGATGGTTATATTACAGTATTCAGATCAACATGTAGTTTTAAAGTTACAAATTGTTTATTTCTGGAATTTTCCATTCAATATTCCCATTCAATATTATCTGTGTCTAACAACAGGTAACTGAAATATTACTTCTCAGTGGTAAACCCACTGAATTAGATAGCAATCTGAGAGAGAAGATTTAGAAAAAGAGGACAGAGAAAGATGAGACAAAGAGAAGAAATCACAGATATTTCAAGTGGTAGAATGCCTACCTAATGTGGTGAATTTAAATCCTCAGTACTACCAAAAAACAAACAAGGCAAAAAAACCTTAAGAATCTAATTAAAAAATTCAACAGACAAGATATATACAAACTAATTAAACATAAGAAACATCATTAGCTATCAAGAAAATATAAATTAAAACCACAATAAGGCTGGGCACTGGTGGCTCATGCCTACGGTCCTAACTACTCAGGAGACTGAGGTCTGAGAATTATAGTTCAAAGCCAGCAAGGGCAGGAAATCCCATGAGAATCTATCTCCAATTAATCATCAAAAGACCACAAGAGCCCAATGCTGTTGCTCATGCCTATAAGCCTAGCTACTTGGGAGGCTGAGACCTGAGGACAGTGGTTCAAAGCCATCCCAGACAGGAAAGTCCTGAGATACTTATCTTCAATTAATCTCCAGAAAACAGGAAGTGAAGCTATGTTTCAAAGTGGTACAGCACTAACTTCAAGTGAAAAAGCTCAAGGACAAACAGTGCCTAGGCTTTGAGGTCAAGCCCCAGGAACCCCCCGCACACACACACACTACACACACACACACACACACACACTACACACACACACACACACACACACACTACACACACACACACACACACACACACTACACACACACACAGAATAGTTAACAGGAACACACACACACATACACACTATAACTACACACAGAATAGTTAACAGGAACACACACACACACACATACACACTATAACTACACACAGAATAGTTAACAGGAACCAAACAAATCATGCCTATGATCCTAGCTACTTAGAAAGCTGAGATATTGAGATATGAGGATCTGTTTGAATCCAGCCCAGGCAAATAAAACTTGGACACTCCAATTAGCCAGCATAAACACAGAACTAGAGGTGTGGTTCAAGTGGTAGAGTACTAACTGAGAAAAAAAAACAAGCAAGAGCTCAAGTCCAGAGTTTAAGTCCCAATACTAGCACACATAGAAAAACACACACAAGCCGGGCGCTGGTGGCTCACGCCTGTAATCCTAGCTACTCAGGAGGCTGAGATCTGAGGATCACGGTTCAAAGCCAGCCCGGGCAGGAGAGACTGTGAGACTCCTATCTCCAATAAACCACCAGAAAACCGGAAGTGGTGCTGTAGCTCAAGTGGTAGAGCGCTTGCCTTGAGCTGAAGAGCTGAGGGACAGCGCCCAAGCCCAGAGTTCAAGCCCCACGACCAACAAAAAAAAAACAAAAAACATACAATCAAAATAGAAAATAGTGATAATACTAAATTCTTGCAGGGCTGAAAGAAACTAGTTCACTCATTTACACCTTAGGAAAAATGTAAAATGGTATACTTACTCTAAAAAAGTTTATCAATGTCTTAAAAAATTAAACATAGGGGCTGGGAAAGTGGCTCAGTGGTAGAGCGCTTGCCTTGCATGCCTGAGGCCTTAGGTTCGATTCCTCAGCACCACATAAGCAAAAAGAAAAAAAGCCAGAAGTGGCGCTGTGGCTCAAGTGGTAGAGCGGTAGCCTTAAGCTGAAGAGCTGAGGGACAGCGCCCAGGCCCAGAGTTCAGGCCCCACGACCGGACCCAAAAAAAAAAAATTAAACATGCACAGACTTTATGTCTCAGCATCTGTACTTGTAATATATCAGAGAAATGAAACCATTTTCATGCAAAAAACTACATACCAGCACCATCTAAAATAACAAGAAACCAGAAACAATCCAATATCTTTCAGCAGGTAAGTGGCTAAACAAAGTGTGATACATTAATATCACAGAATACTATTCAGCAATAAAAAGGAAGATACTATTAATATACTGTACAATGTGGATGGATCTCACAAATATAATGATGCAGATACAATGACACCCACATGGCCCACTCAGAAGTTCCCTCAAAATGTTTTCCAAACTTCTAGCTGGTCTGAGGAAATATCTAGTACATACTAGTCTATGATCAAAGTCATATCCTTAAAGGTTTAAATTTCTTTCCCATTTTAAGCGGAAAACAAAAAGGAATCAAAAGAAAAAAAATATGGTTGACTTTAGGATGATAAACATTTTGTAACTGATTTCAGAAACTACAAAAAATGAAATGTCTACAAAATTATAATTACTCAAAAATGAGTGAAGTCTTGCCGGGGCACCGGAAACTCACACCTGTAATCCTAGCTACTCAGGAGGCTGAGCTCTGAGGGTCATGGTTCAAAGCCAGGCCAGGAAGGAAAGTCCGTGAGACTCCGTGCAGGGACAGCACCCAGGCCCAGAGTTCAGGCCCCACGACCAACCAAAAAAAAAAAAAAAAAAGAGTGAAGTCTAAAAATCTGCTTATAAAGTTAATCCTAGAATGGGATGGTAAAGTACTTGCCTAGTATGTATAAGGCCCTGAGTCCAACCCCTAGCACCATTGGGGGGAAAAAAAGTTAATGATAGAGATAAAACTAAATGGTTGTTCAAGTAAAACAAAACAAACTAACAAAAAAACAAATAAACCAACTTAGTTCCTGGTGAAGCACACCTTTGGGAGGCAGAGGCCTAAGGCTCATGAGTTCAAGGCCTGCCTGGAGAACAAGAGACCTTATCTCAAAATAAATTTTTAAAAAGAAAAAATTGAATCAACTCCCAAAGTAATGTCAGTATAATGCAGAAATACAAAATTGTTAAGTGTACCTTAGACTTTCCCTATGAAACAGTCTTAAGAATGCTTATGAAATATAATTAGCATTTGGACTACAATTTAAGTTTCATTTATGTTTCAGTAAGAGTTGAAAGGTTAGATAAATATACTAGTGAACATTCAGGTTCTAGAAAAACAATTTGGAATGCCACCAAAGTATTTCCTATTACATGGCAAAGAAAAGATAAAATCTCAAAGCATCTTCTGTGGAGCAGTAATAATTTACAAAAGGACTATTTTGGAATAGTCCTTTTTGGAATATAATAAATGCTTAGTCCATGGGCTGGGAAGGTGGTTCAGTGTAGAGCGCTTGCCTTGCATGCCTGAGGCCCTGGGTTCGATTCCTCAGCACCACATAAGCAAAAAGAAAAAAGCCGGAAGTGGCACTGTGGCTCAAGTGGTAGAGTGCTAGCCTTGAGCTGAAGAGTTGAGGGACAGTGCCCAGGCCCAAATAAATAAAAAAAAAATGCTCAGTCCTGATCCATGACCTCTCTAGTAAATGCATTTAGGAAATGGGAATATATAGACAGCTGTCACATTTTAAAAATATCAGCCAGATTTCTAAGCTGTAAAATCAATGTAAACTGTGAAGAATAAAGCAATGCATTTTATCACTCTCTCTGCCTCTAACACTTTAATCCTAGTCATGTACTTATTTTCCAAAGATTTGTTGGATAACTGGTCTACGACTTCAAAAATATATAGCTTACTGAAATGAAAGTTGCAATAGCTGAGAACAAAGTCACAAGTGTAAATAAGGCAAATTGAGAAATTGCTACAGCTTAACAAGTCAAGAAATACTAGATGCAGGTGACAAAAAATAGAAGGACACAGTAAGGTCAAAAAGCTCGAGGAATTATACATTTAAGGAAACAAAATTTTTCTTTTTCCCCTCAAGTAAATCATATTCTCATCAGGTTCATAGTATTTTCTGCTCTATTCTTGAAAGATCTTCCATCAACTCCTGATACAAAGGATACGAAGAATGAACAGAAACAAAAATTTCAAATGCTGCCAAAAACATATGGAATGAAATACCTAATTTAAAAAACCATCAACTAGAGAGGATTGCCATTATTATTTTGAGGATTCTTTCATACAATATCTCATCTCTGTTTATATAAATGCCATTAAATACTGTATATATAATTTTCATCAATTCCAACTTTTGCCACACTGGTTCTTCCTTAATCTTTACTTCTCAATTCATAACTTTCTCAAAAGAGGTCTTCTAGGAGGAACCTAAAGTAGCCTCTTTTATGACATCATCTATTGAAAAAAAAAAAACTAAAACTGTTTTCTTGTATCTACTTCTTTGTGTTTCTAATCCCAAGTTCCATGACAGTAAAATTTATTGTACATTGTTCTTTTAAGTCATTCAAAATATTGTTACATTCAAGATACATTGTTACAGAAAATCCCTCACCCTCTCAAAAGCCACTTCAGCCTTCTCCCTCTTAGGAAGCAGAGTGGCCTACCAGCTCGCCCTAACCAAGTCTGTACAGGGAAGAGACAACACTGCTTTCATGTACATGATGTATATGAAACTTCTTAAATCCCCTTAATACTATTTTTTTGTTTTCTTTTGAATGGGCAGTCATGGTGACCCTTTTTATTCCTCCCCCAACATGACATATATGAAGAAAGGCTTTAAATCTCCCTGGAAATGGATTGAGGTGTGACAGTGACTGGAACTCCCCTGTGCACAAACTTGAGATCACTTCAATAAAAATGTACACCTTGAAAAAAAACTCATATGAATACTTTCCCTATCATCAGTATCTAGGCCAATATTTAGGCACCAATTGCAGGTGCCTAATCATAATCATTTAAAAGATTAGGGCTTATTCTTAATATTTATAAGCTACAAAAGCTTAAATCTCTCTCATTCAAATTTTTTTTATTGTGAAAATACTGTACAGAGGGGTTACAATCACATGGGCAAGATAATGAGTACATTTCTTATCAAGCATTGTAGCCTCCTCCTTTGTTTCCCCTTCCCATCCCTTCCTATCCTTCCCCGCCCCCCCCATTCAAGTTTTTATCCTAAGCTCCATACTTCTACTTAACCATTCATTTGACTGATAAATATGGAAAATGCATGAGTATTTTACTCTCAGTGGGTCACTAAACCTGCTCATGTTGTTCCTTCTCTATTTAAATGAATGTATGAATATTCTAAGCCATAAACTTGAGCTTGATCCTTAATATGATTCCTCCTCCTCACCCTATTTAACCAATCACCAAAAGCCTCTCCATATTACATCAATTCTACCTCCTAAATCTCTTCATTCTATCCACTTCATTCATTTCACTTGTTCCTCTTAAACCCCAGCATTCCATATCACAGTTAATCATTTTTCTCATCAACTACACTAACCTCCTTACTTCCTGCTCTCTATATCCAATCTTATTCCCCCCCACCTCTAATTTATTCTCATTCTGTTCCCTTAGTGGCCCCAATGGCTTCCCATAATTTTAGAATAAAGTCTAAAATCTTTACCATTGACCAACATCCACATAAAACATCATTAGCCTAGTTACCAGGACTCTTAACTTTTTAAATCCACCATGTTCTAGCCTATCTTAGGGCCTCTGAGTATGCTGTTTCTTTGGCCTAAAATACTCGGTCATGTCACACAACTGTAGATAACTTATTCTGCAGACACTTATTCTACAAACACTTTTTCAGGGATCTATAAAAAATAGAATTTTAAAGATATATTTCCTCTAGTCTCAAAGGGATTCCTGGCTTACAGTTATCTAGATATTGGAAGGAAAGTTGAAGATCTAATTAGTTATTAGATCTTATTAGTTATTATTGATTCTAAGATAAGATTCTCCTCGATTGTTTTGGAAAGTATAATATAACCACATAACCTCTTACAAAGCAGAACTTTCTACTAGTCAAGGGCAAAGTAAGTCAGAGAGTTGCAGAAGTTAGCCAACAAACCTAAGGGTGAGGCAGATTCCCCAGATTCCAGAACATGGGCCAGCTGATTCTTGATTTAAGCAGCAAACTAGTCAAGCTGCCTATACTTCCAGCCTTCAGAATTCTAATATAATGTATGTTGTTTTAAGCTGCGTAAGTTTTAGCAGCAATGAAAAACGACCATCAAGGCTCTCCTTTGACCCCTTGCCTCACCCCAGACTGGGTTATGGTCCCTGTTAAATGCTCCCATAGCATTCTGTTCTTCCAATGACAGGACAGTCATCATATTTATTGCTTAATGTAGGTAGTCTAAGATCTCCAGACAGTGATTTTGTGTTTTTGGGTACTATACCCACCATAATGCAATATGTACAAAATTGATAACCATAAATGCCAAATGAATAAGCTTTTGTTCAATTGTCTACCAAAATTCTCAAGTCATGAGATGCCTCCTATAAAGTGCTAAATTACAAAATACTTAAGGATCAACTGCCTATTGCAGTGACTAAAAAAGGGAAAACAAGAAACTTGCGATGAATACATATTCAGAACCATTTGCATAGTTATTTTGGTTTTACAAACTCTCCCCCACTTATTACTTCTCCCTACTCCAAGACAAAACCTTTAGGATATCATGGCCACCTACTAGAGACTAACAAAACATTGCAATATAAAACTGTCATTATTAACACTAGGTGACACTTTTAGGTATATTGGAATCCAAATAAAGCTATAAAAGAATTTCTCCCCCTTTGTAGAGTATTTTCACAATAAAAAAACTTAATTAAAAAAAAAGAATTTCTTTAACTTTAAAAAATGCTTTCTTCAAGCTGCAAAAGTAAATCATATTTCTTCAATCTTAGATATTACTATTTCATAATAAAAAAGACTGAATATATTAAACCTATCTGGTCAGAAAAGGAAAACATCAGTAAGAAGAATAATTTACTTACATCAATGGAAAAGCAAAAAATGGAAGTGTCATGGCAAGTCTTGCTGTAAATTCATCAGGTAGATACCACAAGTACACAATTAAGCATGTAAACAGATATAGAACTGAAGAGTAGAGAATTAATCTTCCAACCCATAATTTTTGTAATCTCTGATTTTTTTCCCTAAATTCTTCCAATGCTTGAATTTCCTGTTAAAGAGAAAATTATCCCACATTATAAATCTCAAATTTCGGTAAAATTTAAAAAGTTAAAAAATGTTTTTTTGCATGACGGAAAAGCAATTGTAGAATTATTTAAAAGTCAATAAAATGTAATATATTAATATTTTAAAACAATATAAAATGAAAAGGAAGCTAAAAATGAAGCCAAAATTTTATAATGCCTACTCTAGCAAAACACTTTTTTAAAACAAAAATTACTCTTTGCTATCAAATTGGCAAAGATTAGCAAAATGAAATTGACATGAGGAAATATTTATTGGGTCAATCAAGTAATGTTTCATATATATGGCCTTTCAAAACTCTGGCAATTAAAAAAATTATTGGATGCCAGTGGCTCACACCTATAATCCTAGCTATTCAATAGGCTAAGATCTAAAGATTGCAGTTCAAAGCCAGTCCAAGCAGGGAAGTCCTGCAAACGCTAATCTCCAATTAAGCACCAAAAAGGCCAGAAGTGGAGCTGTGGCTAAAGTGATAGAGCACTAGCAAAATAAATAAATAATAAAAAAGCTCAAAGAAAACACCCAGGCATAAGTTCAAGTCCCAGGATCAACACACAAAAAATAAGCAACCTGTACTGCATCTCTTTCAGTCTCTTAACCACATCTCAGGAAAATAAAAGGGAACACTTTTTATAATAATAGGAAATACAAAAAGCTGTAAATGTTCTACAGACTGATAAAAATTGTTACACAATACCCTATAACCTTCTGTATGCTATCAGTTACACTGACTTATGCCACACTGTGTTAGTGTCTGCCTGGGAGAACAGCCCCTTCCCCCTTCTTCTTCACCTTCCTGAAACCAGTAATCACCTGTGAATCTGCATAGGGCCCCAAGCTCTGAGATCACTTCCGCATCCGCTGTGGTCCCACCTCTTGCCTTTCCCTAAATAATCAGGCTCAACAGGAATCCCCTCCTCTTTCTCTCTTTTTCTCATTTTCCTTCCCTCTGTCTCTGCATGCTTCCATCTTCTGTGGGCTGGCAGTTGCTCTCCCCTCAATAAATTCTTTTCTGCCTAACCCATGTGGTGGGTTTCCTTTCCTGCAAACCTTACACACTGTAGGTCTGTTTTCGTTCTGAGGGTCTATTATTTGATAGACTTCTTAAACCACTGATAGACTGGATTTTTGTTAAGATCAGGTAACAATAAAGTTCTCACGTATATTTCTATATCAACTCTAAATTCCCATATTACATCTGTTCATTAAAATAATGATTACTAAAATATTAACACACAAAATGAATTAAAATATCTGAGCCAAAAACATACCTTATCTATACTTTCTAGAACTTCTACAGTTGAAGGTTTTGCCTGTTATAGAAATAGAAATAAGATTTAAACTTGTTGCTGCAAACTTAGAAATATTTTAATTTATATAATCATAAAAAATTTCAATTCAAAATAAATTTTTATCAAATGTTGTCAAACTATATATTTCTATTTTTAACTGCAGATTTAATTACAAATGGAATGACACAGACTTAAAACATAAGCTTTTTTCTACTTGACTTTATTCTTAGGATTTTATTACCCTTTTGCCATTCTTTGTTTTTGTTTTCTTTGTGCCAGTGCTTGAACTTAGGATATCTCACTCTCCCTGAACTTGCATGCTTATAAAGGGCACTCTACCACTTGAGCCAGGCCTTCAATCAACATTTTGTTATTTAATTAGAGATGGAGTCTTGCAGACTTTTCTGCCCAGGCTGGGTTCAAACCTCAATCCTTCAGGTCTCAGCCTCTTAAGGAGCTAGGATAACAGGTATGAGTCATCAATGGCCAGGTTAACTTTTACCATTCTCAGTCTCAAGAAAACATACTTTATAGGCAGAAACTAATTTTGCTCGGAGAAAAATTTTGAGACGAATATTTTAAAAGAATTTGCATATAAAATATTCATGGACTAAGTATGGTCTGAGTCAGTATTGCCTTGGAGACAAAAATCAATAGACTATCTTTATTCTAGATTCCTAAAATATGTTATTTTTTATGAATATCAAGATTTTTAAGGTACATTTAAGAACATTATGGCATAGCTCATTTGCAAAAGGTAATTTTATACCACCTAGAATAAACATTAGCCAAAACAGCTCATAACAAGTGAAAAAATATTGACCAATTATATACTCAACAATACAAATAAGGCTAGACATGGTGTCTCACGCATGTAATCCCATGTACATAAGAGACATAGGTAGGTAGATAGGAAGGTTCCAATCTCAGGCCAGCCAAAGAAAGACCCTATTTGAAAAGTAACTAAAGCAAAAATGGCTAGAAAGCATAGAGCCCTTGCATAGCAAGCACATGGCTCTGAATTTGAACCCCAAAAATGATAGCAAAAGGAAAAACTAAAAATCTAAGACTGTAAAAAATATCAACTCATTATAGCTCCTTTAAGAGTTGTTAACAAGCCAGGCACTGGTAGCTCATGCCTGTAATCCTAGCTACTCAGAAGGCTGAGATCTGAGGATCATGGTTCAAAGCCAACCTGGGCAGGAAAGTATGTGAGACTCTTATCTCCAATAAACCACTCAGAAAACCAGAAGAGGTCTATGGCTCAAGTGGTAGAGCACTCACCTTGAGCTTAAGAGCTGAGGATAGTACCCAGGCACAGAGTTCAAGCCCCAACCGACAAAAAGGAAAAAAAAAATTGGGGATCATCTTATTCATGTCTGGCATCAAGACAACTGATCTCATACAAGTAGAAAGTAAAATGGTAGTCAAGGGTTGGTGCCTCACACTTGTAATGCTATTGATGCATACCAGCTGAGACAGCAAAGGTCCTGAGACTCACCTGCAATTAACTACAAAGAAAGCTAAAGGTGGTGCTGTGACTGCAGTGGTAGAGAGCCAACCTTCAGAAAAAATGCTAAGAGACAGCAGCCAGATCTTGAGTTCAAGTCCCCATACCACCACAAAAGAAAAAAAATGGTGGCTACCAGAATCTAGCAAAATTGAGTATGGCAGTTGTTGGGTTGGAAAATCAAAAAATACAGACCATAGGAGAAGTTCAACAGATCATTATATATACAGTTCTTATACAACATAGTAGCTATAACTAATGATGCACTGTATTTTTTATTGTTGTTGTTATTGTTAGTCATGGGGCTTGAACTCAGGGCCTGGGCACTGTCCTTAAGCTTTCTCCACTCAAGGCTAACACTCTACCACTCTGAGCCACAGCTCTACTTACAAGTTTTCTGGTGGTATATTGGAGATAAGAGTCTCACAGACTTTCCTACCCAGGCTGGCTTCAAACCACAACCCTTAGACCTCAGTCTCCTGAGTCCCTAGGATTAGAGGTATAAGCCACCAGCACCTGGCGAAATACTGTATTTTTGACAAATGCTAAGAGAGTGTACGTTAAGTGTTCTCACCGTAAAAATGACAACTAAGTGATGTAACAAATATGAAATTATCTAGGTTTTACCATTCCACTTAAAAACCTCATATTATATACCATAAATACATTCAATGTTATCTGTTGACAAAAAATAAAGGAAATTAATACAATACCAATCTAAAATATGGATTATTTGATTAACAGCAAAAACTAAATTATGTACCAAGTAATGCTAGATTCCATTATTATGGTAATAAGGAGTTAAGAGATAAGTAGGTATCTCTTCTTATTTTACAGGAGAGTATAAATCAATATAATTTGCATTCTCTAGTTCTGGGCTTATCTAATATAATTACACTAATTTCTAATTTTGCTTAATATATAATTCCTAAAAGCATATTTAGTATGAATTCAGTAAATATCTGTGATTCTCTTTAAGAAAAAGATATAATCTGTTAAAAACATAAGTATGGCCAGTTCCCAGTAGGCTCATACTAGTTTCTCAAGAGGCTGAGATAAGAGGATCTCCATTCCAAGCCAATGGGACAGAAAATGCAGATGGAGCCCTACAGTTTCCATCTCCAGTTAATCAGCAAAAAACGAAGGAACAAGATGAGGCCATGAGTTCAAGCTATAAGTAGTGCATAGAACACTTAATTTCAATCACCTTTGAAAAAAGTTTGAAATTTTGGTAGTATGACAAAAAAATTAAAATAATCATTTGCACACATATAAATATAGAAATAAAAATATATAACTCAAAGTAAAATAATTCTATTAAAAAGATATTGGAGCATCAGTGGCTCATTGCAGTAACCCTAACTATTCAGGAGACTTAAGATCTAAGGATCTCAGTTTGAAGCCAGCCCAGGCAAAAATGTCCATGAGACTCCTTATTTCCAATTAACCATCAAAAGGATGAAGGCAGAGGCTGGGAAGGTGGCTCAGTGGTAGAGTTCTTGCCTCGCATGCATGAGGCTCCAGCACCTCAATTCCTCAGCACCACATAAACAGAAAAGGCTGGAAGTGGTGCTGTGGCTCAAGTGGTAGAACACTAGCCTTGAGCTGAAGAGCTGAGGGACAGCACCCAGGCCCAGAGTTCAAGAGCCATGACCAACAAAAATAAATAAATAAATAAATAAATAGCAAAAAAGGTAAGGGACAACACATCTAGTCTGATTTCAAATCCTAGTAATGTCATGTATACACACACACACACACACATACACACACACTACTTTAAGTAGTACTACAATAATATCCAAAGTAAAAAGTAGTTTTGATAGAAAAATGAAAAATGAAAAAATTAAAGAGAAATTAATAGATATCAAACTACAATAACAACAATAACCACAAAAAAGACTATACTACAAAGGAGACTTTTACAAAAAGCTTTATGTAACATGTTTATGTTAAGCTTAAGAATTCCAATGATATAAGAGTATTCCTTACCCTCCATCGAGAAAATAATCCTCCCATCTTTTATTTGTAGAAACTTGGCACAAGGATATAAATCATCAGTTGTTCAAAGAAAGTCACAGCTAGAAATAAAGTATTGAAAAAATTAATCTCCCAGTAAAATTTCTACATTGTAATCTACCTTAAAATACTTTAAAATATTAATTTCATTGGACTCCACTTACATGGAATTTGAATTAAGATAATCATTGGGATGGAGTCCACCTTTTTACACTCCTCTCTTTATCTTTAAAATAAAATTGAAAAGGCTTTTTAAATGACAAAGAATATAGGCTTCTAAATGTTTTCCTATGTGTCCTTGCAACATAACTTTTACTATGCTACTTTCATTATACATACTTCAAACAATTTCTGTCATTCTACCATCTCCTATCTAACCTAGTTATCTGGAATGAGGAGAGTTCTATAATGCTCAGAATAACATCATCTTATACGGAGCCTTAGACAGCCAACTGGATAGTAAGTAGGAAAAAAAAAACCACATTATTTAATGAACATATTATTTAATAACTTTGAGTCTTTATTTTTGTAAATTAAGAGTTAATATCAACACTTTCTCACAGAATAGACTTTAGTATTACTAGTTTATAGATAAAGAAGCTTAATAAAAAGATATTTAGTGATCTACCCAATAGTATGGAAGATATTTGGCCTTGAGCCTTTCTACCTTCAGGCTCCTAATCCCTATCAAACACTACTATGCTCAACACTCCAAATTGTCTAAGTTTCTCAAGCTAGTTGATCTCCAAGTCAACTAGCTAATTGTGTATCATTCTTTTGTTTATCCATGTTTCTCAAATGTTTTATATAGATTAAGCAATGTTGTATGCTAGGTCATTTTATCAGTCAATACTACATAAATGTTGATCTTCTGTACTTCAAATGACAAAAGTATACTTTCAAACTAATCTATTTTTGCCAAGTTACAGGTATATACTTACCATTTTGTGAAACTGTTTCATTTATACACACACACACTTATTGATGGCATATTTCTCATATTTTTAGCCATAAATATAATCATTAAATAATATCAGTATTAAGAACTACAACACTATTAATATATTGGAATTAGTATAAGGAATAGCTAGCTTAAGAGTTTCTTTGAAATTAAAAAGCCTAGTCATAAAATATTTATAATCTAGTCTGAAACACACTGAGGTTTATAAATATTTTGTTTTTGGTAACATTAGAGTTTGAACTCAATGCCTTACATTGGTTACATTAAAGTGCTCTATCACTTGAGCCATACCTCCTTGTTTTGCTTTTGTTATTTTTCAGACAAGAACCTACACTTTTTCCAGGATTGGCTTCAGACCATGATTCTCCCATCTCTGACTCCCAGGTACCTGGGATTATTACAGACATGAACTGCCATACCAGGCTTGTTCTTGAGATACCATTTTTTCCAGATTGACCTTGAAACACAATCTCTGCCTCCCAAGTAGCTGGCATGAGCCACAAAACCTAGCAATATAACAAACATCATAAGCCACATTTCAGTTGCAAAGTAAATGTTATTAATCCAGCATTAACTCAGTATTTCAATTCCTAAAATAGTTGTAGGGTATCCAGGAACTCTAAAGAACAAAAATATAAATTTCTAGTCACAATATTAAGTAAATCTCAAATCCTTAAAGATGCTAAAAATAATCACCAAGAAAGGTCTGGAGATTCAGATGAACCATTTAACTTGGTATTCTCGAAGTTTGTATTATCCCACTATTTGTGATCTAATGCATAGTATCTAGTAGAATATTTCATACACACAGCCTGCATATTTTCATGTGTAAGAGAACTTATATTTTTCCAAGTCAAGTTTTTGGCTATCACACCCTGAGACTGTGAATTTATCTGTTTGTTTCTTTGGGCTTAACCCAGGATGGTCTCAACTCAAGGAGTACTCAGGCTTAGACACCTGAGTACTAAGATTATAGGTTTGGGCCACCACTTCCAGCTTATCTTGGCAAGCTTAAATTTTTAATATTTAAAATTAATCACTATATCATTGGGTAAACTGGTCCCCAAGACAAATGTTTTATGTGAATTTTATCATTTGGATACTATGCCTCCAGATTACCAATGATGATTCTCAAATGGAATTTAAGAACTATGCCAACTATTACATTTAAGTAGCAGGAACAGATAAAGCCTTTTAGTGGTTTTGTTTGTTTTCTTTCCAGTACCAGAGACTAAACTCAAAGCCTCGACTATCTTTTTTTAATTGTAAAGATGCTGTACATAGAGGTTACAGTTACCTGAGTAATGAGTACATTTCTTATCGAGCAATTACCCCCTCCTTTGTTATTCTCTCCCTATCCCTTCCTTCCCCCACCATCCCCATTTTCCCCCTGCCCGCCGCACCCCAGAAAGTTGTAAAGTTTGATTCCAACAGTGTCTTGTGTCATTGGTGCAATAGATCATCCTGTGTCTTTGTTTCAGCATTGTTATTCCCCTCCCCCTCCCTAAATTAGATAAATGTATATACAAGATGCAGAGTACCAAAATCAAGTACAGTGACAACAGGGGATATACCATAGGGGGAATAACATACAAAGGAAACAAAAAAAAAATCAGAGTACATTAAAAACAACAACAAAGACTTGTGTCCATATCTTGGGGTTCATTTCACTTATTATGGTCATAAGTGCATAGCTTTTGAGTTTTTCTACTCATCTTATAAAATTATCCTAGACGTATACTAATTATTGCAAATGAGGGAAACCATGCATTTCTTTGGGTCTGGCTTACTTCACTTAATATGATTTTTTTCCAAGTCTTTCTATTTCCTAACAAATGGGGTGGTGTCATTCTTTCAGATGGAAGCATAGAATTCATACACACACACACACACACACACACATATACACACACATACACACACACACACACACACACACACACAATGTTGTCTTGATCCATTCATCTACTGAGGGCCATCTGGGTTGGTTCCATCTCTTAGCTATAGTCAATAATGCTGCAATGAACATAGTTGTGCTGGTAGCTTTAATATGGCCTTGTTTGTAATCATTTGAGTACATTAATCATTTGAGTGGAATGCTAGGTCCTAGGGAAGCTCTATGTGGAGTCTTTTGAGGAACTTCCAAACTGCTTTACAAAATGGTTGAACAAGTTTACACTCCCACCAACAGTGCAGTAGGGTTCCCTTTTGGCCACATCCCATCCAGCATCTGTTGTTAATAGATTTATTGATTATAGCCATTCTAACTGGAGTGAGGTAGAATCTCAATGTTGTTTTGACTTGTATTTTTTTAATGTCCAGAGAAGTGGAGCATTTCTTCATGTATCTATTGGCCATTCTTATTTCCTTTTCAGAGAAGTCTCTCTTTAAGTCTTTAGCCCATGTATTAGTGAGGCGGTTGTTTCTTTGAGGATTTGTTGTTTGTTTGGGTTTTTTTGGGGGGGGAGTTAATTTTTTGAGTTCTAAGTGTATTTTAGATATGAGAGGGCCTTTACTTTTGGTTGGCATTTTCAAACTCAAAGCTGATGCTCTACCATTTAAGCCATATCTCTACTCTGGCTTTCTGTGGTTAATTAGAGATAAGAGTCTCATAAACTTTTCTGTCCACACTAGCTTTCAACAGTGATCAGAACTCAGCCTCCTGAGTAGCTAGGATTACAGGCATGTGCCACCAGGACCCAGAAGCATCTTAGTTTTGATTTAAAAAAAAAACTGACATATTTCCCAACTTAAAGGCAGAAATTAAGGGTGCTTTTCATAATTTAGGTGGGAATACTTATAAATATATAAACGTATCTCTGACTCAAATAGCAAACAGGATAAAATGGAAAGTGAGCTATAAACACAAGAGTCAGCATTAATACAATGTCATCCTATAGTCCAAATTCTTTATTAGACTAAATTTAAATGCTTAAATCTGCATTAAAGAAATGCTAAATTATTCACTAAAATCATGTAACTCCAGCTAAAAGAACTGGCACTAGAAGTTGGAAACATAGCCTTTATTTTACCATGTATCACTTTTTTAAATGAATATCTGAAATATATGTATATTTATTGTGATTAACACTAATTTTGACATCAATTATTTGCATGGAGAATGTTTTGGTATTAAAAAAAAATAGTTAAACCTCCAAGTTCCCTGTAACAGGGTATTTTGCTTTTAAATTTGTCCTCTAAAACATTAGAATGACAGTCATTAAATGCTATTTGTATGCTTTAATATTCACAATCAAAGAAATATCCAACTTTGTTGTTGTAGTGACTTCTCTATCAAATTCTAGTATGAAAGGAGTTGATTTACTATAATCCACATGGATAGGTAATTCAAAACAGACATAAAAGCACAACAAAATTAAATAAATAGATTCTATAGCTTTAGTTTCATAGTTCTATTTTCAACCACTGGCTCCCCTTTCTATCTAACCATGTAATTCCAATTTTAGTGGCCCATCTCTTACTATGAAATTACAAATTATATAACCTTTCTGTTCATAACTTCATTTGCAAAAGTGATAGTTAAAAGTCCTCTTAAATGTTGAAAGGTTTAAATGTTTCATTGCTGAAATATTGCCATTTTCTAATCTCTGTTTTCTTTCAAACATTGAAAATACCTAGAAACCAAATAACCCCAACATTTCTTTCTGAAGCATAAAATTCGTTTGCCTTTGAATGAGCAAGTGGCTCATCCTCAAGTGGCTTCCACAAACATGTAAGGTCTCTTTCCACTCTGCTATTACAATGGGACTCACATGACCTTAAGAGCTGGGTATATTCTAATGTGTTTATAATGAACAATAATGTCCACTTGAATGCTACCCATTAAATGCTATTCACACTCAGGTCTGAGCATCAGAAATTAAAAGCACAGTTGGGCACTGGTGGCTCATGCCTGTAATCCTAGCTAAAATAGTTGAGGGACAGCACTCAGGTCCATGAGTTCAAGCACCAGGAGCAGCACAGAAGAAAAAGGAGAACGAAGGAGAAGAAAGAAGGAAGAAGCAAGAAGGAAGGAGAGGAGGAGGAGCAGCAGCAGCAGCAGCAGGAGGCAGTGGCAGAGGGAAGGGGAAAAGGAAGGAAGGAAGGAAGGAAGGAAGGAAGAGAGGGAGGGAGGAAGAGAGGGAGGGAGGGAGGAAGGGGAGGGAGGGAGGGAGGGAGAGAAAAAATTAAAAGCTTAAGTATTTTCTTAAATTTTTAGCCCACCTAAAACCACACTGAAGCAAGTAAGTCAAGTTGATCTGAATTCAAAACATAGCTCAACCACATACTTGCTACATAATCTTGGCTACATTAAACTTTCTAAGCCTCAGTCTATAAAAAGTGGTAATTGATAATTTGGATTAAATTCAGATTGCTTGGATTAAATGAAATTATCATTTGGCACAGTGTGCAACAGATAATACATGCTTAATAAATTGTAGACACTGTTGTTGCTATCACCAGAAAACCCAAGTAGTACTTAAATAAGCGTATTTCTTTAACTGCTTGTAAAAGATCTACATCATAATTTAAATTTTTAAAGCTATACTTTGTGTTTTTTTCTGATACTTTATTGATCTCATTTATGCTAGCATGAAAAAATATAGCAAAATATTCTGCAGATACTTACATTAAAAATAACCCTGTGATAGACAATTTGCTCCAGGAAAGTTAGAATGAACTTGTGACTTTAAATGAGCATCATTATTCCACAATACTGTGAAATTTGGGAAATTATGTAATCACTTAATCACAATTTAAAAAAAAAAAGAACCTCGGGCAAGGTAGGGAGGGAAGGGATGGATGGTAGGGGAAAAACAATGGAGGGGGTAACAATGCTCAATAGGAAGTGTACTCATTACCTAGCTCATGTAACTGTAACCCTCTGTATAGTATCTTTACAATAAAAAAAAATTTAAAAAAATAACCCTGTAGGTGTTTGGAAGGGAAGCTTAGTTTTATGTTTAATTTGTTAGGTTCCAAACTTAAACAAATCAGCCTTAACAGCTCCTTCAAAATAATATCACACTGTACAATTTAAGATTAACAGCAATTACTTGTAAAATTCTTAGTATTCAATGTCATAGTTGAGAAGACCCATTCAGAAATATCCCAAACCACATGTATTGCCCCAAAATAAAAGCAGCACACTTCTAAAGGCATACTTAATGTGTGATAATGAAGTGCTTGCTTTCAAAGTCAGTTTTCAAATGAAATAAATACTACCCAAAAACGACTAGTTCTACATTTAATATAGACTTTTTATATTTCATATAGAATCTTTCATCCTTTTGGTAGCCATCTAACTTTTCTTACATTCTTTGAAGTTAATACATATTATATAAATACATGAAGTGCATTACTATAAGCAGTGAACAGGGAAATTCAAAATTCTAAGTTTAAACGCACCATTCTTGTATTACCTGGCCCTAAGTAAACACCATGGGCACTGCTGGGGACTAGGGAATAGCCTTCCTTGCCAGTCTAAACATGCGCCTGAAACTAGTGTGTTACATCCATCATACTCTCTGTTGAACAGTCAATTGTGTCGATAATGCGATCCAGGTCACAGAAAAAGGACAAAATAGTAGACTAAGGCCCACAAACTAGAAGCCAAGAGGGAAGAGCGGAACATGGAAAACTCAGTGAGTCACACAGAGGTCTTGCTAAGTACTGTTGAGAGAACAATTAGCAACACTGAGTCACCAATCCCAGCTCACTCTCGGCCGGCCCGCACACCCAGTATTAAAGAATTAAAGCAGAGACCGTAGTTGAGATTTGTTTTTCTCCTAGCCAGCCTTCTCCCGCGGACCACGGTCTCCGCACAAACAAGGACCACGGGCGTAGAGCAGCTTCCCGGGGCAGGGACCCACGCCCACTCGCGGGCTGAGCAGCGTGACACTGACAGTTTTCGGGCCCCCTTCCGACCTCTCACACTCGGGGCACCACAGCACACCTCGAGCACGCAAGGGGGCGAGGGCAGCGCAAGATGGGCCAGTTTAGGACCAATTCTTGCTCTTCTCCACACCCGTGGGCCAACAGGCGAAGATCAAATCAGTCACTACCCGGAGCCTCTTAAAAGGGAGCTTTGAAGAGTCAGAACTGGCTCCGGACCAAGCCGGCCCCGCCCCGGCCCCGGCCCCGGCCCCGGCCCCGGCGCCGGGGAGCCGAGGTGGGGACAGGAGACTGCAGGTCGGCGCCCACCGCTGCGGGAGTCTAACAGGCGCCGCCGCAGGGCACCTAGGCCACTCAGCTAGGGAGTAGGCACTCGGGAAGCTGGCAGAGCCCAGCGCGCCGTCCCCACCGCGGAGCCCTCCCGACCTCCGCCCGGAGAGCTCTACCTGCGAGAAGCGGGCACTGCCCGGCCGCGTCGTCAACCCCTGCCGGCCTCGGCGGCAGGCCGCACAGCTCGCTTCACCTCAGAAGCAGACAGCAGCGGCCACTGACAGAGGGCCCGGCCTGGCCAATTCCTTCCCATCAAACCCCGCGCCCCTGTCGCCAGCCAACCAGCGCCGCAGCCGACGCGCGCCGCTCCCTGGTCACGTGACGGGGCGGGGACGGGCCGGCGGTTGGGACGGGGGAGCTCCGCGTTTCTCCCGGGGAGCTTAGGCCCTGTTGGGTACTCAGCTCGTTGTCGGGTCGCGGGGGTGGACCACTATGATTAGGACTCTTACCAAGGCCGTCTTTCTTACTCTTCCTCGACCTTGTTTCCTTTTAAAACTTCTTCCAAGTCTCATCGTAGACAGACCCTGACATGGATCTTGGTGGTCCCGCGCTGTGGCTAGAGGGGACAGGCCCGGGCACAAAGGAGTCGGGTGGCGCGTGTCTGGAGAGGAGGCTGCGCTCCGCAGTCCGGAGCCCCTGCCACGGCCGGCGACGGGGCGGTTCACATTACACAGCGCGCAAGAGCTCAGTTCCCAAGCTGGCCAGGGCAGACAGGCAGCCTGGAGCTAAGTGTGCTAGAAACTTCTATCTCTTTTGGACGTCATAAAGGGTTCTTTGATGATTGCGCACTCACCTCATTGAAGTGGTCATTTCAAACCGATGGTAAATAACGAAAACTGAGCTTTTCTCTTAAAACTCTCACCTCAAGAACATTCTCCACAGGCCCTGATTACTTCCGCGGGGGAGAGGGGACCACCTGGGCTTATTTGACTCCGATTTGAAACATTGCCTAAAGAGAGTTAAGTTTCCTGGTCAACTGGAGAAGACAAGTCTAAATAACAAGTGGTAGTTAAGTGGGAGAGGGAAAAAATACCCTACTGGTATATATGATTAACTGAAGGGGTAGGGAAACTTCAGAGAAGGCTGTTATCATATTTTACCTCTGTGACTTTATGCCCAGTTAGCAAAGGTTTTTCATGGGTGTGTTGCATATATTTCTGAATAAAAAGTTTCTATGATTGTCAACTTGTTAGTTTTTAATATGCTGTTTAAATTTCAAGAGCACCAGCAAGAAAAAAACATAGTATCTAGTTGATACATATAATTTATTATACTGGAGGCTACCAGATGATTCACTGACAATTGCCTGCCCTAAAATCTTTAGTTACAGCTCTGTAAACTTGAATGACTCAAAGAGAATTGCGGGTCACTTTACAAAAGTAGAAGAAAAAGGACAAACTCTTCACCTATTTTAATATGGAAATTTAACTTTTATTTTCATCATGTGCTGTTTCAAAGTGTTAAAGTCCTGGGCTTCTGCACACCAATAGTCACTTTGGGAAGGCCTTTCCTTAAAAGAAAAAGAAAGGTTTTAACACTTGGTAATGTTGTGTCCTCTGTTTGTTAATTGACCCATCAAAGTCTATTTTAAAGGAGTGAGAACAGGATGGGGTGACTAAGAAGAAATAATTGGATTAATTGGATGCAAGAGATTTAAAAAAAAAAAAGGTGGCTCAGTGGTAGAGCGCTTGCCTTGCATGCCTGAGGCCCTGGGTTCGATTCCTCAGCACCACATAAGCAAAAAGAAAAAAGCCGGAAGTGGCGCTGTGGCTCAAGTGGTAGAGCGCTAGCCTTGAGCTGAAGAGCTGAGGGACAGTGTCCAGGCCCAGAGTTCAGGCCCCACAACCGGACCCAAAAAAAAAAAAAAAGATCCTCCTGAGTTACAGTCCCTAAGAAATTAGTCTAGGAAAGGAAGAAAACCTGGCCAGGAACTGGAAAGAAGCATTGTCTTAATCATAAGGTAAATACCATTTTTCAAATGAAGTTGATAATACAAAGATTGTTAAAGGTGACACTGTATACCATTATATCTTGTAAATCAAGAGGTAAGAGTCTGGCCTACCAGGTGTTAAGTCTCAGGATTCAAACCCCAGCACCAAAAGAAAACAAAACAAGAAGTAAAAATGGACTATGTGGCTGACTATGGAGTACAGGGTGATTCTAAATACCTCGTGTTAAATTCTCAGGACCAAAAACAGCTGTCCTAAAGCATCTGACAAGAGTGGGAGAAAACCTTTTTTTAAAAAATTGTAGGATAATAAGTGCTATACTGGAAGCTAATGTTCAAGATATTAGAACACAGCAGCCATTGGGAGATGGAGGAAAGCCAATGAACATGCTGCTTTATTTGGCAGAATCCAAATAAGAATTATGCTCTTCTGATCTTAAAATAGCTAAGATCAGGCTTAAAGAATTGAAATACATGCATTAAACTGCTTCTGCACAGCAAAGGACATAGCAAGATCAACTGAAAGCCCACAGATTGGGAGAAAATCTTCACAAGCCTTACAACAGACCAGGGCATCATATTTAAATTATACATAGAACTCAAAAAGTTAAATCCCCCAAGAACAAATCCTCAAAGAAACAATCACCCAATTCATAAGTGGGCTAAAGACTTTAAAGAGGAACTTCTCTGAAAAGGAAATAAGACTGGCCAACAGACACAACTTCTCTGTCCATAAAAGAAATGCAAATTAAAACATTGAGATTCCATCTCACTCCAGTTAGAATGGCTATAATCAAGAAATCTATCAACAACAAATGCTGAAGGGGATATGGCCAAAAGGGAACCCTACTGCACTGTTGGTGGGAGTGTAAACTTGTTCAAACACTCTAGAAAGCAGTATGGAGGTTCCTCAATAGAACTCCTCTATGATCCAGCAATCCCACTTTTGGACATTTACCCAAATGATCACAAACAAGGCCATACTAAAGCTACCAGCACAACTATATTTATTGCAGCATTATTCACCATAGATAAGATATGGAACCAACCAGATGGCCCTCAGTAGATGAATGGATCAAGAAAATGTGGTATATACATAGACATATATATATATATTGTATCTACAGTGGAATTCTATGTTTCCATCAGAAAGAATGACACCACCTCATTTGTTAAGAAATGGAAAGACTTGGGGGAAAAAATCATATTAAGTAAGCCAGACACAAGGAAATACAGGTCTCATGGTTTCCCACATTTTCAATAATTAGTATGTCAGAAAAGCTCAAAAGCTATGTACATATGACAATATAAGATGATGCTAACTGAAATGAACCTCAAGATATGGACATGAGGTTTTTCTTTGTCTTTTTTTCGGGGGGGAGGGGGTCTGGTCGTGGGGACTCTGGGCCTGAGCACTGTCCCTCAGCTCTTCAGCTCAAGGCTAGCGCTCTTCCACTTGAGCCACAGTGCCACTTTCTTTTTGCTTATGTAGTGCTGAGGAATCAAACCCAGGGCCTCATGCATGCAAGTCAGGCACTCTACCACTGAGCCACCTTCCCAGCCCCATCTTTGTCATTTTTAATGTACTATGTGATTTTCTTTTGTATGTTCTTTTGTATGTGTTTGTATGTTCTTCCTCCTGTGGTATATCCTCTGTTGTCACTGTATTTGATTTTGGCACCCAGCATCTTGTGTATACATTTATCTAATTTGGGGAGGGGAAGGGGAATAACAAAATGCTGAAACAAGGACACAGGATGATCCATTGCAACAATGATACAAGACAATATTTTGGAAACGAACTTTACAATTTTGGGGGGCAGAAGGAGTGAGGGAGGTTAGTGAGGGAAGGGATAGTAGAACAACAAAGGATGGGTAACAAAGTTTGACAAGAAATGTACTCATTGCCTTTTTTTTTTGTAAAGATACTATACAGAGGGTTACAGTTACATGAGTAAGGTGAGTACACTTCCTATTGAACATTGTTACCCCCTCCATTACTCATTGCCTTTTTTTGTATTTTTTATTGTGAAAATACTGTACAGAGGGGTTATAATTATATGAGCAAGGTAATGAGTACATTTCTTATCAAGCATTATTGCCTCCTCCTTTGTTTCCCCTTCCCATCCCTTCCCATCCCCCCCCCCACCAAAGTTGTAAAATTCGGGTTTTTTTGTACATCTCATTGTTGCTGTGGGTCCAACTGTATCCCTATTTCAACAATTTGTTTTTTCCCTTCCCCTCCACAAATTATACTGAAGTAGTCCTGAGAGGAGACTTGAGCTGGTACAACTTTCCAGGCTTTGCCTTTGTTTTAGGGATTTTAGAAAGAAAAAAAAAAAAAAAACCTTTAAACAAGGTTAACTCGACCTTGGCTCCAACCAGCCCAGTTCTTGGAATGGAAAGAATGCCTCTAGGTCCCCCTCCTTGATTGTTCAGTTAAGGACTGACCCATAAAACAGGTTGTAATCTGGCTCCAACTGGCGACACTATATGCTTTTGGTAAACCCTGCCTTTTGCACATGTTTATAGTAAACTCTGCGTATTGGCCACCTGTGTTGGTCTGGTACGACCTTTGTGTGTGTTATGATCCCATTGGTCAACTGCATGTGACCAGGCTCAAACTTCATGGATTTTGCCTTTAAAAACCAAAGAATGGGGGCCACTCGGGGTTGCAGTATCAGCTCCCAATCCTGTGCTGCGGCCCTGGCTCCTCAGTGTAGGAACCTTTTCAATAAAGTTGCTTCTTTATTAACAACTTTGTTGCGGTGGGCTCTGTCACTCCGGATGACTGTGTGGGCTTGCCTGCCTGAGTAGGGGTCTTCCTACTACAATACCAACATCAAATACAGTGAAAACAACTCATTGCCTTTCTCACGTAACTGTAACTCCTCTGTTCAGCATCTTTACAATAAGAATTTTTTTTAAGTGAAATCCAAAAACAAACTCAATTGATGTGGGTGTAATGAGAGCTTATAGGAAGACATTAATTGATCTGAGCCAGAGGGGTTAGGAAAAGCCTCCTTAATAAAGTCTCATTCAAATAGAGATCTGAATGTGAGAAAGGGAAACAGTATCTTGCAAAGGCCTTTTGTCAAGAGGAAATGAAGACAAGCCTAAGGGACTGAAAGGAGGCCACTATGACCTAAGCAAAGATTGCAGGGAGAGGGCTGCAATGTGAAGCTGTAGGATAGACTAAGCAAGGTCACCCTATTGAAAAACTTAATCCTTCAGAGCAAGGGGTTGGAAAGGAAGTTAATGTTTTTTTCATTCTATCTATAATGTGAAAACACAATCATGGCCAG